AAGAAAGAAAGAGCTATGACATCTGCTTCCAGGAAAGAGGAGTAGACACACTTTTCCCCACCCCCTTCCCACTACATACAACTGAAACTTCTAGACGGCGTATATAAAATGAACAAAAGATTTTTACAGATGAAGAAGAAAGCCAACAGTCTAAGAACCCAAGGTCCAGAGGGTGAGTTCTCTGCATTTCTGCCTCGTAAATCCCAGAGAGAAACTAACCACCCAGAAATTCTAATGGCTGCAGACAAAAACAAACAAACAAACAAAAAAACTCTAACAAAAATGGCCGTTTTTTTCTAGACAAAGTGCCAGAAAAGGGGCAACCTCGCAAGACAGAAAACTTTTAGACAATAGTGGTTGTACTTCAGCCATAGTACACAGAAAAATTGTGGCCTCATCTCCATCCATACCAGCAAAAGCCACATAAGAGCTTTGATGCCCACCACTGCCAACCTTGAACGAGGCAGCTTCCTCACCTGGCAAAGGTAAGATCTTTGAGGAGGGAGCTGGATTCTCACTACTAACAGATGGTGATGAGAACCCCACCTTTTCTAAGTACAGACTATGTGGGGGGCCTGAGTTTCTACCCCCACCCCACAGTGATGAGGGCACACGTTTGCTCAAATGATTTCTGACAAAGGTTCAAGAGCCATTCAATGGAGGAAAGGTACCCTTCCCAATCAACGGTTCTGAAGTGATTAGTTATCTACCTATAGGCAAAAAAACAAACCAAACCAGAACCAAACAAAAAGCTCACCTTCTACAAAAATTAATTCAAAGTAGATCAGAAACGTGCATGCAAAATGTAAAACAATTAAACCTTCAAGAAGAAAAATAAAAGAAAGTTTTAAGATCTAGGGATAAGTGATGAGCTCTTAACCCACACCAAAAGCGTGATCCACACACACAAAATTGAAAAACTGGACTTCACCAAAACCTAAACACTTGTGTTCTGCTGTGTGTACCATTGAGAGGAGTGTCAGACGAGCCACATGGTGAGAGAAAATACGGGCAGGTCACAAGCAGGTGACCCTCGTTACTTACAGATTCCATATGTGTGGACCGACCTACTTGGTAACACGTATCTAAAACCCCACACCTGGGACTCGGGGGCTCTGCAGCCACTCAGATGTGCCTCCAGATGTGCAAGTGCTAACGCCCCCGTGCACCTGTTTCACCTGCGCTCAAGCAGGACCAGACTACCTCTGTTTTCAGTTCTCATGCTGGAAACACGTCCTCTACAGTCTGTTTAGTGCCACTTCTTTTTCTTTGCATTTCTGTTGCGTTTTGTGGGTGACTCTGCTACTAAAAATGACCCTAGTGTAGAGCTGAAGTGCTGTCCCATGTCCCTAAGTGGAGGACACCGGCAAAGACAATGTATTAGATGAGCTGCACTCAGACCATGCCCATGGCCATGAGTTCAATGCTAGTAGATCAAAGATAGATAGATAGATGATAGACAATAGAGTGATAAAGAGATAGATGACAGATGGATGATAGACAGATGATAGATAGATGATGGATAGATGATAGAGAAATAGATGATAGATGATAGATGATGGAGAGACAGATAGACAGATAGTGCTGCCTTATACAGAAACACACTTAAATCAAGGTTACGTATTGATCAGCTGATAAACACACTGTGACCAAGGGCTCGCAGCCCCTCACTCCCTTTCCTCGGGGAGCAATGGCTCATTACATGGAGGCACTTGACGACCATTGAGAAATCCATGGGGGAAGCACAATCACAAACCAGCTCACAAATCTGTGTGAGGGAGACCGAGGCAGGATGGAAGCTTCCCGCCCATCCACAGGGGACGCTGCTCCTTGGCTGTTGCTAATCACCACTGTGCAGAAAGGCTGACTGTGTGTTGCTAGACCTTTGGGGTTTTCAAGGGAAGACGGAAATTTGGATTTTTAATAAAACATCTTTGAAATGTGCTGTGGCTTCGTAAATTAATGACAGTGACAAGAGGCATAACTGCTCCGTTGTTGGCAGAACGGAACACATTGGCCCGAGGACTCCCCACGCACCAATCACCAGCAAAGGCTGATGGACACAAACACAGGAGGTCGCTTCTGGTGCTTCGTTAATGAAAAGACCCATGCAGTTCAACAGTCTCATCCCACCGCCACCACCGCTGGTTTTAATATTCTAATGGTTTCTTCTCTGAACACAAAATGGGTCACTCCTTCCCCGAGGCGATCTGTCACTTTTCTACCAGGCGGTGCTTGGAGCAGCTGGATTTAACGCTCAGGGGTTACTCAGCAGCATTTGCCAGGGCCCAGACCCAGAACGTCACGGAGGCAATCCTGTTGCAGCCTCTGTAAATCCTCTGTGGGAGAAAGCGTCATCTCAGGGGCTACCCAGAGAAGACGCTGGAAATACGGAACTACTTATCCAACAGCAAAGGGCAGTCAACATTCTAATCCAGAGATAAGTGTATTTTTAAAAAAATTTTTGGCTGCAACACCTCACGGGAATCACGTTTTATTGCATACATTAAATCCTTTTATAACCAATTCTAAAACACTGCCCGAGTTCCTATTCCTTAAAAGCCCTTGACGTTCCCGAATCTCACTTCAAGGAATCAGTCATCATTTTGAACTTCAGATGCGTTAGAGGCACAGGTTAAAAGAAATGTGTCAGTTAGACCGGCCCGATTGGGCTCTGCCCTGATTAAACAGAATGCTTAAACCCCTTTAGTAATTCTCTTGTATCTGACACGAATGTCTGCCAGGTCATGAATCCATAAACTACGTGTCCTACCTGGCATACATGATATCATTTGATCCCGGCAGAAAACCTTTGATACCGTTACTATGATTTCCATTTTAAAGAGGAACCCCCCACCCCCACCCTGGAGATGAAGGGATTTGTCCACATTCAACACATTCAGTAAGTAGTGTTAGCACATCTCCAGGCATGGCCCTATTACTTCCCACATGGATTTCCTTTAACCACCTTAAATCTACCTTCTTCCAGCCGGGGTCATTCACGAAGATGCTACGAAGAAGGGAGCACCTGGCTCAAGTCCTTGGGAGGTGAGCAAGGGGTGGGGGAGGGAGTTGCAGTAAGGATGGAAGAAGGAAGTGGAGCCCAGGAGGGGGAAACCTTCGGACAGTGTGCCAGAATGTTCGTCTTGATTTGCAAGTGATTCTTTTTGGGATATAGATATATATACTCATTTTTAACCTTACGGGCTTCCAACTGTAAGAATGGCATAAACTATGCCCTTTACATAACGTGGTAGGCAGAATAATGCCCCTTCCAAAGACAGTAGTGTCCTCTACTCCAGAACCCGTAACAGAGAATTAAGGTTGTAGGTGGAATCAAGGATGCCGTCCCCCTGGTCTTGAAGTGGGATTATTCTGCATTTCCTAGGGACATCCAATGTAACCACAAGGGTTCTTCCAGATGGAAGAAGGGGGTAGGAGGGAGAGTGATAGGGTAACACGATACAAGAAGGACCCTCCCTGCCACTGCGGCCTTCCAAGATGACAGATGCCATCAGCCCGAAAATGCAGGTGGCCTACGTGCACTGGAAAAGACAAGGAGACAAATTCTTCCCTAGAACCTCCTCAAAGGAATACAGTCCTTGTAACAACCACATTTTAGCCTAGGGAGTTCTATTTCAGACTTCTGACCTCCAGAGTTGTTAGATTATAAATCTGTGTTGTTTGGACCACTTAGTTTGTGGCAATTTATTATAGTAAATTAGTTCATACAGGCTTTCAGATTTCTTCCTCGAGACAAAGCTAATGCTGGAGTGACTATCCCATGTTAACAATAGACAAACTGACTCAGAGAGGTTAGGTAATTTTCCTACAGTCACATGGCTAGTTATTGGAAACTTTAGGGATTAAAATGCAGGGCAGTTTGAGTAAACCAAGCTCTTAT